GAAGCGGAAAATCACGGAGAATGATCATTAATCGACGCGACTAACGCGATTATTCTCGAACGGTAATTGTATTTCGTTCCGTAAGAACCGCGCGCGCCCTTTGGGGGATTACAATTTTGCGATATGACAAAGGGCGCCCTCGTCGCGGCGTCAAAACCGCATAAACGCGTTTTAATTCGCCCACATCATTAATTGTCAATTTCCACGTTTTGCAAGCCTCCCACTGTTTCGAGTATTGAGTGCGAACGCAATTAACTTTGTAATTGATGGGATCGTGGAAAATTTTCTTTTAATTAAAGTTCGGAGGAGCCAGGACGGAGAAGTAATGGGACTGCGTCGCCATTATAATTACGCACCTTTATTAGCAATATCCCCTTTTCTAATGTCGTTAAATAAGCGTTAAAAAACGTTTCATGAGGCAATTAGGGGCGTATGTTATGAATTTAAAGAGCAACACCCCCCGATACCAGTATTTTGGTCAAATATAAATTAGTGCACGTTTGAGACTAGTGCGTGCCAGATCGCCAACCGAAATGAGGCTGGGTTTTCTTGAGGGGGCGGTGCTTAAAGGAGGTAGAGCGGGGGTATCTAAAGTGGCCCCTATACTACTGGTGTTTTAGAGCGACGGTGTTTAAGTACTTTCGATTAGGTTTCCAAGTAAGTGCAATAGTAAACTGTGAGAGATTGAAGCAAAAATAAAAAAGTAAAGCTAGTGTGATGTCCTGCAATAACGCGGAGGTAGTGGCATGTGATTGTCTAGTCAGGGCCGTTTTTATGTGACCTTCTTAGCGATGAAAAGGTTCCACTAATGCAGAGATAACTAGAAGAAAAAGACACTTACAACTCACTTCTGAGCTCTTTGCTCCCGAGATTATCCTTGCGAAATAAACTATTTATAATTATAATTACATTTATTATATAATAATTATAATTTTATATAAAATTAAGTAAATTATATTAAATTTAGCTGAAAGGATTAAATATTTCCGTTTGCCATCTCTTTTGTATTTTTCTTTATATTACTGCAGCTGTCAGTGAGGCCAGAATTGAGCCTTAAACTTTGATTTCTAAACTACAGGCCACTTCAACCTTTAATACCAGTTCGCGTTTCCGTAGCCAATCGGTCCTGAGTACTGCCAATTATAATTTCCCTCCATTCTTCAACAATCTTTACCAACATCGCTACCTTCCGTACTAGTCGTTTTCCTTTGTCCCTTGCGCCCTGTCCCATTTTTCACCATGTATGTTCTTAAAAGACCCTCAAAACAATGGGAAACAAGTGGGAATACGAATAGGTAACTGAAAGCAGGACTTTATTAAGTTATGATAATGTAAGTAGGAGGAAGAGGAATGGAGAAGAGAGGATGTGGAAGGAGACGAGATATCAGAAGGAGAGATTGAGCAGCAATCAAGAAGACTGAAAAAAGAGAGAACGATAGAGAGGGACGAATTAAGAAATGAGTAGGAGTATGGAATACCCCTCTGCCACAAGGAAGTCATTTAATTTTGAGTTACCCCTTTTAAATACCTCCCAGTCACAAGAGAGTAGTTTAATTTTGAGTTATTCCCTTGTAGGTGAGGAGTATTTCATAGATTTGTATTCTAAATAATGGGAATATACCACCAGGGAGTCTGGGGGCCAAGAGAGTCGTTTAATTTTGAGTTACTCCCTTTTAAATACCCCCCAGTCACAAGAGAGTAGTATAATTATGAGTTATTCCCTTGTAGGTGAGGGGTATTTCATAGATTTGTATTTTGAATAATGGGCATATACCGCCGGGGGGTCTGGGGGGTATGGAATACCCCCCAGCCACAAGAGAGTAGTTTAATTTTGAGTTATTCCCTTGTAGGTAAGGGGTATTTCATAGATTTGTATTTTGAATAATGGGGATATACCGCCGGGGGGTCTGGGGGGTATGGAATACCCCCCAGCCACAAGAGAGTAGTTTAATTTTGAGTTATTCTCTTTTGGGTGGGGAGTATTTCATGGATTGGTATTCTAAATCATGGGAATATACCACCGGGGTGTCTGGGGGCCAAGAGAGTCGTTTAATTTTGAGTTACTACTTTTTAAATACCTCCCAGTCACAAGAGAGTAGTATAATTATGAGATATTCCCTTGTAGGTGAGGGGTATTTCATAGATTTGTATTTTGAATAATGGGGATATACCACCGGGGGGTCTGGGGGGTATGGAATACCCCCCAGCCACAAGAGAGTAGTTTAATTTTGAGTTATTCTCTTTTGGGTGGGGAGTATTTCATGGATTGGTATTCTAAATCATGGGAATATACCATCGGGGGGTCTGGGGGCCAAGAGAGTCGTTTAATTTTGAGTTACTCCCTTTTAAATACCCCCCAGTCACAAGAGAGTAGTATAATTATGAGTTATTCCCTTGTAGGTGAGGGGTATTTCATAGATTTGTATTTTGAATAATGGGCCCGCCGGGGGGTCTGGGGGGTATGGAATACCCCCCAGCCACAAGAGAGTAGTTTAATGTTGAGTTATTCTCTTTTGGGTGGGGAGTATTTCATGGATTGGTATTCTAAATCATGGGAATATACCACCGGGGTGTCTGGGGGCCAAGAGAGTCGTTTAATTTTGAGTTACTACTTTTTAAATACCTCCCAGTCACAAGAGAGTAGTATAATTATGAGATATTCCCTTGTAGGTGAGGGGTATTTCATAGATTTGTATTTTGAATAATGGGCATATACCGCCGGGGGGTCTGGGGGTATGGAATACCCCCCAGCCACAAGAGAGTAGTTTAATGTTGAGTTATTCTCTTTTGGGTGGGGAGTATTTCATGGATTGGTATTCTAAATCATGGGAATATACCACCGGGGGTCTGGGGGCCAAGAGAGTCGTTTAATTTTGAGTTACTCCTTTTTAAATACCTCCCAGTCACAAGAGAGTAGTATAATTATGAGTTATTCCCTTGTAGGTGAGGGTATTTCATAGATTTGTATTTTGAATAATGGGCATATACCGCCGGGGGGTCTGGGGGTATGGAATACCCCCCAGCCACAAGAGAGTAGTTTAATTTTGAGTTATTCTCTTTTGGGTGGGGAGTATTTCATGAATTGGTATTCTAAATCATGGGAATATACCATCGGGGGGTCTGGGGGCCAAGAGAATCGTTTAATTTTGAGTTACTCCTTTTTAAATACCTCCCAGTCACAAGAGAGTAGTATAATTATGAGATATTCCCTTGTAGGTAAGGGGTATTTCATAGATTTGTATTTTGAATAATGGGGATATACCACCGGGGGGTCTGGGGGGTATGGAATACCCCTCAGCTACAAGAGAGTAGTTTAATTTTGAGTTATTCTCTTTTGGGTGGATGGTACTCAATGGATTTTAATTCTGAATAAGAAGCATATACCACCGCAGGGTTCATACCTCCAGCCATAAGAAAGTAATATTAAGTTATTCCCTTTTGGGTGGTAGTATTCCATATCCCCCAGGTCCCCTGGTAAATACATTCCAGGAAGGAAAGGCACTCGAAACTCGTAATAATATTTCTATCCAGGAATGTATACTGGGGGTATTCCATCCCCCTAGACCACCGGTAACTACACGAAGAAAAAGCATTTGAAACTTTCCTGGAATGTATACCGGGGGGTATAGAATAATGTAAGTACATTCCAGGAAGAAGGAGCAATTCGGAATTCTTAATAACAAGTGGAGAGGAAGATTCAAAAATTTTTTTTCCTGGAATGTATATTAGGAGGTACCTATTCCATACTCCCCAAAGTACATTCCAGGACGAAAGGGAATTCGGAACCCTTAATATAAATTCGAGAGAGATCTTTACAAATATTTCATTCCTGGGGGGTTATTCGATACCCCACAGACCCCCCAGTGTTACACTCCCCCCAAAATTGTTTCGCTTTCAGAACTCTTATGATTATTTTTCAAGGAAGGCCATTGAATCTTTATAATTTTTTGTAATCGTTTGGGGGAGAATACAGCAAGGGAGAATTGGGAAGATATGGACTACCTTTCAATTAAAGGCAGTTTGATAGGCCTCTTAGATCACGATTTCTGAAGACTTAACAAGTTTGGGGGGGGGGGGATCTAACACCAGGGGGTCTGGGAGGTAAAGTAGGAGGTAAGTATATTCCAAAAAGAACGAGCATTCGGAACTCTTAATGACAATCCGAGCGGGAGTAAGAGGGGTATGAAGCCCCCCCCCCCCCCCCGCAGTATAGGTTTTAGCAAAGAAGTATTTGTGAATCTCCCTCTCGAATGGTTATTAACAGTTCCGAATGATCTTTATCCCTGGAATGTATGCCACCTCCCCCCTCCCCGATGCTACACTGTCCCCAAAATTGTGCAGAGCGGGAAGAGTAAGATCTTAGGGTACCAGATGCAACGAAATGGGGGAACTAAGAAAAAGGACAAAGTGGCAATGCGGGGAAATGTGAAACAGGAAATTCAAAATATCTTTTTTGATGCGATGGGAGGGGGGTGTCGATGTATGGAACGGAGATTTGGGGTTGTAAGGGATGTGAAGAACTAGAAGGAATAGTTATGGGTACTGGGACTAAGCGGAAGGTGGAGAAGAACGCAGGGCGAAAGATTCGTGGAAAGGAGAGAAGGAGAATGTGAATTTGTGAAAGAATGGGAAGAACAGAGAAAACGATACTATGAAAAAAGAAAGGAGGAGAAAAAGACACTCAGATGAAACAGACGGTACCAGGAGCTGATAAATAAGGGAGGGGTGCAAGAAAAAACATTAAAATAATTAGGTGGAGAGAGACAAGAAATACTGACCATCTCATATATGAGAATGTGAAGAGGGAGGAAGGGAAAGCAGCAAATAAATACTCGTCGAAAGGGAAAGAGTAGAAAATGTAATAGAAAAAGGAAGAGACACATAAATTATGAGATACACGTAATGGGGTGAATAAAGAATTGATTGATCACTACCCTGTTATCTCAGTCCTTGAAACAACATTTAAGGGATTGCTCTCCACTCACTTCAGGCATGAGTGATTTAGAGTAATAAAACGTCAGCTGTCGTTCAAAATCTGCATTTGTCAATGTCACTCCTGCACTCAAAATTGTCCAATAAATGAAAGGTAAGTTCACCACGTCTTTTATGCCATTAACGTGCACGTTGTAGATGTTTGTTACGGCGGGGGTCGATTTGAAATTTCACGAAATCGGCGACACCTGCCTGTTCGCCCACCAGCCCTTTTCGTTCGGCAACATAACCTCGGTCTCGTGGAGCAACGATAATGGATTCATAACGACGCTCAGCGAGAACGGCGTCCCGGAAGTGATCAGCCTGAAAGAGCCGAAACACGTGAAAACCGTTCACGTCGTGACGGCCGTTAAGGACGTCTCCGTCGCTAGCTTTCAGAGAACGACGAAGAGATTTATGGGGCTCGGAACTTATTCCGGTCGGTGCGTCCTATACGACACAAAGAGTAAGGCAATTCATCAGCAGTTTCCGGACGTGCCGGGCGCCATTAATCTGCTCGACTTTAATTACGGCGATCGACAAATGGCGGTCTCCTCGCTCGGCGGGAATCTGTTTCTTTTCGACGTTAACAACGCGAACGTCCTGAAGACGTACGCGACGCCGGACGTTGTCAGCGCGATGCGTTTCCATCCGCGCGACAGGAACCTCTTGCTCTGCGGCCTCGAGAACGGCACGCTAATGCAATGGGACATTGACGTCGGTAAAAGCGTCCACTGTAATCAGCTCCATTCGGCCGCCGTAAGCGGATTAGCGTTAACAAACGGTTCAGGCACGTACATCTCCGTCGGTTACGACAACAAATTTTGCATATACGACACGAATTCGGGCACGTGCACATTCCGAAGCAATCAGCGACATCCGCTGACGTCAGTCGACGCGCACGTCGAAGATAACGCGGTGGCGATAGGAACGTTATTCGGAAATTTGTACACTTACGACGTGCGAAATTTAATAGCGCCCTCGGCGAGCGAGACGCCCCACAACAGCAAGATAAACAGGATAGCGTTCGAGAATAACAAGAAGCTCGACGTCCTCCTGAAAGGTGCGGCGCCCGAATCGTCCATAAGTTTACAGCCGGAAATTAAATTTATGAATTACAATTTGGACGCGCACGTCGACGCGAACCTTCCCTGTTGCGACGCGGCGCGTGAAATTAAACAGGTCGACGGTCGGCGGGAGTCGCCGAACGCGCTGCTCAAGAAGGAAGTGGCGGACGCGGTGAGGACGTGCGCCGAGGAGCTGCAGGCGCAAATCGCGAAACAAATGGAAAACCTGCAGGCGTTCATACTCGAGGAGTTTAAGACGGTGTGCGACGGAATCGAGAAGAAATGGGACGACATCTGTGGGGAGTTTTGCGAAAGCAAGGGGATACAGTAAATTTTCCAATTTTATCGTTTGTGAGGGCGTCACCCAAGGTTTATGCCAAATATATGTCTTAGCTTTCCAACTCTTTCTTCAGGATTTGCTCTTAACGTGGTCACACAAAATAACTACTGCAACCGGATGGCCCCGCAACTATGTCGCCATTCACACTTGAAGAATTTGCGCGTGAAATATTCGCTCCAGAAATTTGCTTGCCACTAAGATACTCAAATTAAAATGCCAGGGATTCTTCCTTTAATTTTTCCCGGTATGTTACGAGGGTTCCCTAAGGCGAAGCTGTGCGACAAATTTAACGGGTTCACTTGGGTGGTAGTGTCCCTGTAGTACATGGGTTCTAGGTTAAAATCCCTAGGAACGAATGTCGTCGGGTGAATATTGGCGAATGAATAAACTAGGTGAAGACGAAGCTCCTGACAATATGTTCTTTCTCGAATCACTACTGGGCTACTTAATGCATAAGAGACCATAGAATGTACCTTTCCTGATGAGTACTCCATACTCCACTAGCTCCTGGTGTTACTTTTTATGGCCCCTTTCCAAAAGTTATGGTTTATATGGTATGTGCACTGTACGCCTTGGGTATAATGTAGAACCACCGAGTCTGGGGGTATGGAATACCCTCCAGCTCCTCACCTTCAGCATGCGAAGAAAGGGGAAGGAACATTAAATCGTTCTTTCATGGGAGTATTTGTTTCAGTGTCCTCTTCAGTATAACTATCATAAGGACTTCGTATACTGGGGGGTATGGACCCCCCGGTGCTACGATCTCCAGCTAACCATTCATCCTTAACGTCTGTTGTGGTAGTTTTCTATAAGGCGCTATAGGATTTACAATTCCTAATGTGAAGAACATATAACCGGAAGGGGGGGGGGAGAGACTGGGGGGTATGGAATACCCCCAGCTCCACACTTTCAGCATGCGAAGAAAGGGGAAAGAACATTAAAACGTTCTTTCGTGGAAGTATTTGATTCAGTGTCCTCTTCAGTATAACTATCATAAGGACTTCGTATACTGGGGGGAGGGGTATTCCATACCCCCCAGACCCCCGGTGCTACGGTCTCCAGCGAACCATTCATCCCTAAGGTCTGTTGTGGTAGTTTTCTATAAGGGGCTATAGAATTTACAATTCCTAATGTGAAGAACATATAACCGGAGGGGGGGGGGACTGGGGGGTATGGAATACCCCCAGCTCCACACTTTCGGCATGCAAAAATAGAGGAAAGAACATTAAAACGTTCTTTCGTGGAAGTATTTGATTCAGTGTCCTCTTCAGTATAACTATCATAAGGACTTCGTATACTGGGGGGAGGGGTATTCCATACCCCCCAGACCCCCGGTGCTACGGTCTCCAGCGAACAGTTCATCCCTAACGTCTGTTGTGGTAGTTTTCTATAAGGGGCTATAGGATTTACAATTCCTAATGTGAAGAACATATAACCGGAGGTGGGGGGGGGGGCTGGTGAGTATGGAATACCCCCAGCTCCACACTTTCAGCATGCGAAGAAAGGGGAAAGAACATTAAAACGTTCTTTCGTTGAAGTATTTGATTCAGTGTCCTCTTCAGTATAACTATCATAAGGACTTCGTATACTGGGGGGAGGGGTATTCCATACCCCCCAGACCCCCCGGTGCTACGGTATCCTGCGAACCATTCATCCCTAAGGTCTGTTGTGGTAGTTTTCTATAAGGGGCTATAGAATTTACAATTCCTAATGTGAAGAACATATAACCGGAGGGGGGGGGGACTGGGGGGTATGGAATACCCCCAGCTCCACACTTTCGGCATGCAAAAATAGAGGAAAGAACATTAAAACGTTCTTTCGTGGAAGTATTTGATTCAGTGTCCTCTTCAGTATAACTATCATAAGGACTTCGTATACTGGGGGGAGGGGTATTCCATACCCCCCAGACCCCCCGGTGCTACGGTCTCCAGCGAACAGTTCATCCCTAACGTCTGTTGTGGTAGTTTTCTATAAGGGGGTATAGAATTTACAATTCCTAATGTGAAGAACATATAACCGGAAGGGGGGGGGAAGAGGCTGGGGGGTATGGAATACCCTCCAGCTCCACACCTTCAGCATGCGAAGAAAGGGGATGGAACATTAAATCTTTCTTTCATGGGAGTATTTGTTTCAGTGTCCTCTTCAGTATAACTATCATAAGGATTTCGTATACTGGGGGGTATTCCATACCCCCCAGACCCCCCGGTGCTACGGTCTCCTGCGAACCATTCATCCCTAATGCCTGTTGTGGTAGTTTTCTATAAGGGGCTATAGAATTTACAATTCCTAATGTGAAGAACATATAACCGGAGGGGGGGGGGACTGGGGGGTATGGAATACCCCCAGCTCCACACTTTCGGCATGCGAAAATAGAGGAAAGAACATTAAAACGTTCTTTCGTGGAAGTATTTGTTTCAGTGTCCTCTTCAGTATAACTATCATAAGGATTTCGTATACTGGGGGGTATTCCATACCCCCCAGACCCCCCGGTGCTACGGTATCCTGCGAACCATTCATCCCTACAGTCTGTTGTGGTAGTTTTGCATAAGGGGCTATAGCATTTACAATTCCTAATGTAAAGAATAACCGGGGGGCCTGGGGGGTATGGAATACCCCCACCTCCACACTTTCAGCATGCAAAGAGCTCCTGGTGCGACGTTTTACGGACTCTTTCGAAAAATTATTGATGATATGGTGTGGGCACTGTCAGTTCTGGACAAGAATATAACCGGGAGTTCTAGGGTGTATGGAATACCCCCCCCCCCTCCCAAGGATTCCAAAACCTTGTGATACTGGTAGGGAACGCGTTCTTCCATGGGGTTATTTGAATCAGTGTTATCTTCCCTATAGCGATCATCTTCGTATTTCGCCCCACCTGACCCTCGCTGCTATGGAATCCCCCCCCCCCCTCTCCAGACCTCCCAACATACGAAAATCGTGAAATAGTTGTAGAGGTAAACTCTGCCCGAAATATTTGTTTATAAAAATCCGTTTGAGGGAAATTTGCCTCTCGGGTGTTCACTCCCAAATAATCTTCCAGAGAAATACGCACTGTAATGTTCACCCCCTCCATTCTTGATCTTTTTATCTTCCCTTTTACACTCATTCCCATCGGCTGGTGATTCTATCCTTGTTCTTAACCTAAATTCTCGTATTCTTCCAGAGTATCTTCGTTTACTAGTCTGTAATCAATTACTGACCTCCCTCTTCCTCCCATGTGTATTGTGCGTCCTTATCTACCTCCATTTTCCATTCAATATTCTCCAGCTATCTTTTCTGATAACTTAAATAACACTTCTCTCTCTTTGTTGCACGCTTGATTTGAATGTGGGGCAAAAGGTTTGTTAGAATCTACATAGAGGTTTTTGTACAGGGTAAGTCAAAATTGCAGTTCCGAATTGAAAATAATTCCCATGAACTTCAGAGGAACAATGAATGTTAGGGAGTCTTCTTTCAAATAATGAGAAATACTCCGTATCGGGTCAATACGTTGAGAATGAGAAGTGAGGGAACATTTCGTAAACGAATTGATATCAATCACTTAACGAGAAATCCACAACCCCAAAATTCGCATATAAATGTATAACCGAACCCTATTGACTTGTCAGAAGTTCGGCGAGGCGCTTAAATTAATTTGCACTAAAACGGATTTTCCGGATAAATACAATTATTATCTGACGCGCCGGCTGCGCGTCATAAAAAATTACAAATACGATCTTTCGAGGGAGGCCGACCTGGATACGTCAAAATTGACAAATTGCAATCGCAGTAAAAGTTACGTTCTGAAGGTTCGACGATTTTCCGAAGTGTCATCTCCCACAACCCGTCGCTTTCAGTAATGACGTAAACTGTAGAGAACGTAATGCGGTTTGGAAAATTTCCGGGTAAAGCGCGTGGAACGCAACCCGAATGTATGGATGATTGAAGTATGTGTCAAAACTTGCATAATGGAGTGAATTAAATACGCCGGAAAGCGAGTATATGATTCAGAAACAATTGCAATTAACAGATTGCCCAATAGAACTCCGAACTCCATTTGCATTTTATAAAATGATTCCAAAACCACAAAAAAATAATGCGATAAATTGAACCTGAATTTTTTCCTGGTAATAAATTGAATGATCCAAGCTTTACTTTTTTATAATGATAGGTTGAATGAATCCTTCTGTTTATTCTCTTGCTTTTCTCTCCGAGGCCCAAAACCGAATTAGTTCCAAAATTTCCCCAGAATAATCCCTACCTATTCTGCGTTCATTAATTAACTCCCTTTTTAAAATGGCAGTTTTCCCACAAAATACACAAATCAAGACACCCACGCACTACAATTTTGTTTTAATCAAATACATATTATACAAGATTTCTAACCTAACCTAACTAGCACTCTAACCTAACCTCAATCATACTTTATCCTAATCTTCACCTCCTCGCACATTATATTCTCCTGATACCAAATTTCTGACCTAACCTAACTAGCACTCTAACCTAACCTCACTAATACTTTATCCTAATCTTCACCTCCTCGCACATTATATTCTCCTGATACCAGATTTCTGACCTAACCTAACTAGCACTCTAACCTAACCTCACTAATACTTTATCCTAACCTTCACCTCCTCGCACATTATATTCTCCTGATACCAGATTTCTGACCTAACCTAACTAGCACTCTAACCTAACCTCACTCATACTTTATCCTAATCTTCACCTCCTCGCACATTATATTCTCCTGATACCAGATTTCTGACCTAACCTAACTAGCACTCTAACCTAACCTCACTAATACTTTATCTTAATCTTCACCTCCTTGCACATTATATTCTCCTGATACCAGATTTCTGACCTAACCTAACTAGCACTCTAACCTAACCTCACTCATACTATATCTTAACCTTCACCTCCTCGCACATTATATT